TTTAAATATTTTATAATTTTTATTTTTAATTAATTAATAAAGAGTATTTAATTAATTTTATTAAGAATTGATACTAAACTAAAACTTTTTTATGGATAAATTCAAGAACAATAACTCTTAAGATGTTCTTATAAATGATTCTATTAATACTGATAATTTGTTAATTTAAGTAGAAATAGATCAATTCTTTTTAAACAAAAACATTATTTTACTATATTTAACGTGTTTTTATTTTAAATTAATTAAGATATTAGAAGTGATTTAAAAGTTAATAAAAAATAAATAATTTTAATAATTAAGTTTCTTTTTAAAATTTGAACTTTCGAGTCCAGTGACGTCAAGTTACCTATAAGTGTATTCTCTTACTTCAAAGCAATGGGTCGAATCTAATCCAAAAATATCTTAAATTTAAATATTAAAATCGATGAGATTTGAAGATAAAAAAATGTTTTATTGTATTACACATTATTTAACATTAAAAAATAAAAAACTCTTTCGATTTCTAATTTTCTACACTCCACTTTTCTCCCTGGATTTCACGCTCTTAGCTCGACTGCGTCCGGTGCGCCATTCCCTTTTTCTACACTGCCAAAACTTTGAAAAACTTTCCTTCTTCTTCTTCTTCTTTGCACTAATGGATCCACCGCCGATCAAGCTGATAATGCTGGGGGGCCCGCGCAAGGGAGAAACCCTGGAATTTCAGTCGGGAGCCGCGGTTAAGGTAGGCCGGGTGGTCCGCGGCAACACCGTCGCCATAAAGGACGCCGGTATCTCCACCAAGCATCTCGTAATCGAACCTGTCTCGAGGAAGTGGATCCTTCGCGACCTTGGATCCTCCAATGGAACCTTTCTCAACTCCAATGCCATCCCCACTGATACGCCCTCTGACCTCCGCGATGGCGATGTCATCAAACTCGGGGAGTACAGTTCCATCGAGATCAAGATTGGTGAACCCCAAGAATGTGATTTGGTAGAGAATCAGGCGAAGGGAGCTGGAGAGGAGTTGGAGAGCCGGAGGCGGAATCCGCCTAGGAGAGCTAGGGTTTTGAAGGGCCAGCATGAGAATTTAGTGAATTACGCGCCATTGGTTGAGAAGGTTGCTGGTAATCCAGATAATGAAGCTAAAAAGGGTCGAGGCCGAGGGCGGAAGAAGCTACCCAATTTAGTGGAAGAGTTTGATCGGAAGGAAGCAAAGGCAGAGGGGAAAGAAGTAATTAAAGTTGAAGAAGAAGAAGAGAAAGTGAAAGAGCATAATTGTAAGGGTAAGGAGAATCTCCGAGAAGAGGTGCATGAAAAAGAGATAAACTTGCTGGGAAATGATCAAAATGAGGTAAAAATAGATGAACAGCATGTTGAAAAGATGAATTGCGAAGATAAGAATTTGTCTGAAGAAATCGATGGTAAAGATGGGAATTTGGGGGCAAAAGATGGGATTAATGTTGTAGAAGAGCAGCAAAAATTGGGCAATGGTGATGTAGGACAAGAGGCTGGTGTTAATGAGAGTTGTAGCAGGGTAGATGTGGATTTGGAGAAGATGAAATTGGGGGAATGGTTTGATTTCTTGGAGATTCATCTGCCAAAGCAAATAATTGAGCAGACGGAGAAGATGATTGAGGAGATGAGGAGGAAAGCAGAGAGGGTTCATGACTATCTGATGGAGCAGAAAAAGGAGGGTAAAGTAGCAGAGGGCTAGTGGGCGAAATGAAGCTCTGTAATCTTAAGGTAATTGATATCTCAATTTCAGTGACCTGTATATTCCAGCATGATTTTGAAGTTATTTTATAGGAATCTCTATTGATCATGGCCCTATGTCGTGAGTGAATTTGTGCTGTATGTTATTTCTTGCGGGCTTAATTGATTATATTAATTGATTATATCATATATGACTAATACTGAAAATGTATTGTTTAGGATTATACTGTTCATTAAGTTGTGTGTGTGAGTTTCCAACTCTGAACTGGCATGATTTGAGAAACTGTCAAAAAAGCTAAATTGTATGTTTGTGCATGTTACAAATTCAGATAAAGTTTTGAAGTTTAATTTATTGTCTGTTTTATGCATTGTCAGGACATACCATCTTTT